TAAACTATACGATTTATTCGAGACTTCTCGTTGAAATCATAAAAAAACGCGTTTTTAATATAAACGTCGAGTAAATCGTAAAAAACGTGTTTTTAATAAAAAGTCGAGTAATTCATAAAACCTTACGATTAGCTCGAGGAATTTATTAAAAACAACTTCAGATCAGGAAACGATCCCGTAAAAAGTCGGAAAACGGATTTATCGCAAAACGGCCCGGAAGGACCTAAAACGCGATAAAAACCCATCTCGCGATCTTAACGGAATCTAACCCGCGGATTTGATAAACGTTTTGACGGTTTACCCGTGGGAGGAAAATAAAAGTCAAGTTTGAAGATAAAAGGAAGGTTTGAAGAAAAATAGAAGATTTCCGCGAAAGAAAAGGAAGGATCGAGAAAAATGGAAAATTCTCGATATAGTCAAATCTGGGCGAAATGGAAAGACCGGAAGGCCAAGGCGAGGAGTATATAAATAGGAGGTCTAGGGAAGAAGCAAGACACACGATTTTCAGAGCTCTCACCCCCAAAATTAGCATTTAGGAATATTTCCGGTTTCTGTTAGCGAGCTGCGTCTCAATCAGGGTTTTCGTTCTTAGATTTCTAAGGATTTTGCCGACGGCTCCCGCAGCTTTGGCCTCTCTTTTGTACCAGTTCTTACGCAGATTCGGAATAAGAACCTTCTTGCTTTCAGTCTCGTTAATTTTCGTTTTACTTTAAAAGTTCATCGTTTTCTTAATATTCGTTGTGCGGTTCTGCAGATAGCCGGTTCCTCTGGAAACTTAGGGTTTTCCCGAAGTTTCCTTTTTTTACGATTATTTGACAGTAGGTGGATTTCGACACCCACATGCCACGCCTCATGTTCTTTTTGAAGCTCCTCTGTCATGGTATGGCTTGAACTCCTAGAACCCAACCACGGTGCATCCTGACTTATACACTTGTGTCCATGCTGTGAATCAGCTTTGTCTTCTTCGTAGGGCTTCTCATCCTCAACTGCAACTAGTGGCTTTCCTTGCTCCATCTTGAGCTCTGATGCCAGTTCTTCTCCTCAGTTGTGCTCTGCAACTCATAGATAATGTCTCTCCGTCCTGGTTCTTCTTCTTTTAAAAATCATGCTCGTGTCAAAGTTCCAAACCATCGCGACTTCCTCTACAGTCGACCACATCCGCGTTCTTCAATGGTAACCAAATTTTTACGCCGACACAGGCTGAATTACAAGCTGCGGTTGTGCTCTAATTGCAGCCAATCTTTTCTCAATCGCAATTGTTAAACTATATTGATCGATCCAGGTGATGTGGATCAATCGATCTTCTCTTGGCATACCTCTCCAAATTTGTTTGTTTTGTCTAAATCCTTTAATTTTTCTTGATTTTATCTCAAAACTCTTGAACGTGAAATTTTTTCCTTAAATTCGCCTTGAATTTTCAAATTCTCTCTACATCTTTTACGATATATTTAACTGCAATATAAACACCTAAATACTCATTAAATAATCTTAAAAAGGGTGTGAATGGTAATATTTTTGTTAAAGGTTTGTCTGTGAATTTAGCAAAATCAAAATCATTGCATTATTCATACACTTTCCAAAACATGTACAGATTTGTGAAGGAAATAAAGTAAAAAAGCAAAAAATAACTTATTTCCAAAATCGAATAATGCGTTTGAAAAAAAAAACATTTGGCAATACCCAACATATATTATTATAATACACCAGGTAATAGTACTTTTCCAAAAATTATTGATTTTACTAATAGTTATTTAATTATTAGCTACCATAGATTTTTTTTGTCAGCAACATAAACAGACTCAAACTGTCTCTGCAAACCAAGTCGGTCGATCTGCATTCATGTGAACGGCAAATGATGATTGTTTCCTCGCATTGTGTGCTAGTCTATCCGCCCATAAATTATGCGTTCTTGATACATAGATGATGTCTAAGCTGAGGAAGCTTTTCCTTCAGTGTCTTTATATCCTCCAGATAATTTGCAAAAAGTGGCCATTCTTCTGGTATCGAAACCATCTTCACAAATCGAGAACAATCTGTTGTATATTTCAGATTGTTTTTCCCAAATCTTATTAAATATATTTAATTATTTAACCATGTAATTTTGGAAGAAAATAGATATATTTCGTCATACTTTGCTATATTGTTTAATAAATAGGTGAATGTTAAACATATTATTACTTAAGTTTAGTTTGTAAAACGGCATTTTCAATTTTAATTCTACCTAAAATTTTGTATTCGTTTATTAATTTAAATTTATATAACTAGTTATTTAAATTATGTTAGAATATCTGAAATTATCAGAATATAGACATATATGATAACCAGATATTTTTATATTAACCATCTAAAATATCTAAAATTATCTAAAAACTAAACCATATGGCAAATTTAACAAATATATATTTTTGCTATTGTAAAGTTTCAATTTTATTACCCTAACAAAACTAAAAAATTAAAAGTACCAAACCAGAATTAATCCAAATTTCATAGTTGCATGTTTCTATCAATCAAAGATTTTTTTTTACCTAAAATATTTTCACAAATCAAACATTATTCCATATATTTTATTTTAAGACTAAAACCAAATTGAGTCAAAATTATATGAATATATTTATTTTGAATATTTTATTTTATATTATATACTTTGTATGTCGTTTTGTTTTTACCGATCAAACAATTGTTTGACACCACAAAATATATGTTCACCAATAAGACATTATTATACACCATTTATTCTATCAGACATGCATTTTTCCTACATAATCCATGAACCAAAGACGCACCATACTGCAATTTCCTTCTATACCGTTTCTATTACCAAATCTGTGTTTACCATTCAGACTATAAGATGATCTTAAAAAATAATAAAATCATTATTTTCTTCCTCTTCTTTAAAATCATCATGTAAAAAATCACATGTATTATCCACAAGAGCCTCACAGTCGTGCTCAAATGCATATCTGTATCATCTACAAGAGCCTCCCAGTCATGTTCAAATACATTTCCAGACGGATCTTCTCCAAACCTAGTCTCATCGCGTCTAATATAATTGATGGACATCTCTTTAACTTCAGAATATTCCATCCTAGTATCTTCATCACTAACACCTCCCACTTTAGTATCTTTGATTATGGCCCTTTCAACATTATTATCTTCTATGCAGACATTATACAAAGCACTTTCTTCTTATGGTTATACGAATATATATTATATCGGAATATATACAGTTCATTCTCATAATATTTATTACTTGATTTCAGATGCTTGTGGAAGTGGTGATGGAATCGTTGAAGGACTTGGAAGTGCATAGCCAAGAAAAAAAAAAGCTTTTGAGGCGCGAGTTCATGGTGTTGATTACCAGAGGAGAAGCTCTGGTGTTGCATTTTCGATATCAAATAAAATTTTAGTTTAGTTTTTGTTTAGGTTTGGTTATTTTGTAGAAAAATTGATATCAAATCATATTTTAATAATAGTTTTCTTTTGTAAACAATTTCAATATAGAGAATATTTACTTTTTGTAATGCTATGACATCAATTATTATCTGCTATTATAAATTATACACTTGCATAACTAATAAATGCTATCAAAAAAATATTTTAACATAGGATGGCACAGGTAAAAGAACTATATAAAAAGCCAGAGAAAAGATTGGGGGGGGGGGGGGCGCAGATACAACACTCACCATAACGCTATTCTATAATAGCATTTTACGTACGCTATATATCTAAAATTTTCTTTTTCTTGTAATGAAAATATCTATGGCCATCTTGAAGAAAAATAAAAATATTATATTATCTAAGATATAGTGAATATTTCATTATTGTTAAGATAGAGGCACAACCCCCATTATAATTATGGGGTTCTTAACCTTACATAAAATATGTCATTTCGTCCAACTCAAGAGCTCCTCAATTCGACAGCCAAAAAGGCATGAATTTACCTGAAGATCATCTTCATCGGCATTCCTATGACAGACAAATCCTTGCAATTACTATCAACCAGACCAAGTACTATGCTCATTGTAGCATGTCTTCAACTCAAATTAATGGCCCAGGCCACGATCTCCCGCCAATAGGAAGGAACACACCATGCTCCCTAAAGCATATCGATTAGAATACCATTTGGTCCGGCCATGTACCTTCTAGGCCAGATGACTACTATCATTTACAGAGCCATGTTTTCACAAGGCCACACACAAACTAAGATATGTGCCCATATAGGCTATGCACCATGAATTATATGAACTAAAAATGACTTGATCCACAGTAAGGGGTACGTAGGCAATCTCCACTGATGAATCCAACTATAAATCAAAACCTTCCATGATGACTCACCTCAGTTGAATACATCTTTTGAAGCATGAACCATCAACTGGAGCAGGAAGACTATGTAGCCATCACTGTAGAAAGGCAGCTCCTACCTTACGATCCCTTTCCCATGCATCTATCAAGATATTAATGACATATGCTGGCCCATACTCATATGACACTAGTCTAAAGAAAAGATCTCCTTGTTTATCAACATATGATGCAAAAGAAATCCACACAACAGGTTTTCTCCTTCCTCTTATCATTCCGTAGAGTTGAGCGCAAATGACTTGCACGAAATTACCTTCACACAATGCACAGCTAATTTATACATTTAAAGATACTAAAAAAAAATTAAAGTTTTGTTATAAACAATTTTTTCAAGAAAATATTGCACTAATAGCAATAAATGTATTTGTATGTAACAACTAATTAATACATTTTGATACAAAATGTATTTTTTATATAATTACCAATATTTGTATTAAATATTTGTCTTGAAAGTTTATTATGTAAAATGGTCTTCTATATCGATGGATGGTTCAAAGTGATCAAGGTATATTTTATGAATGGTAAATATTATTGTATTTTTTTTTGAAACACGTTTTTTTTGAAACACTAAATATTATTGTATTAAATAAAATTTTAAATTACTCTAATAAGTTTTTGTATAAAGTTTCTTCTAAAGCAAGATGGCGACGGCGATGGCGACGGAGAGCGAGAGCGATGGCGACGGAGATTTAGATCACGATCGTGACGGAGATTTACATCGCCACGGTGACGGAATTTTACACCGCGATGGTGACGGAGATTTCGATCCAGAAAATCTCCTACGGATACTTGAAGATTTCTGTTCGTATTTGGGTTTCTCTTCGGCTGCTTTAGCCGTATCTACTGTGGTTCAATCCTTTTTCGATAGATCGGGTACAAGGGTGAGCTGGGTTGTGATTTCTGCAATGATTGGAAAATCCCTGAAGATTATGTGGTCTCCTAATTGGTATGATTTTCCAATCACTCAGTATTTAATATGTGTTCTCTTCCGATTTAGTATATCTTCTCTGAAGAATTGGGTTTTGGGTTTAGATACGCTTTCCGATTTGGGAAGGGGGACTTTAGGTTTCCATAAAATTCAGATTTGAAGATCTCGTCTTCAACGAGAGAATTGGAATTGGATTATCTTTATTCGAAATCATCGATTACGGCCTTTAAAGTTTATTCTTCTTCTCATTTGATTGAAAGCATTATGGAAATTAGAATCAAGGGTCACGAATTAAGAAAATCGTATAGAGATTTTCTCTTCTTAGTATATATATGGGATCATAGTAAAGCTTATAAGACGCCACTTCAATCCTCTATTGCTAATACGCTTCACGATTATTATCTCCCTTTCTTAAAGTCTAATTGTACTTTTTCGGTTCTAATGTCTCAGTCACAATGGTTGACAAAGTCAGGAGGCAAAACGGTGGAGGTTTCCAAACCAAAGTTGAAGATATCGGTACCAAGGTTTGATCATTGCACAATATGGCAAAACGGTGATTGGGAGATGTATGAATCCCCCCAAGCAAGAGATGAAAAATCTGCTTTTTATGTTGCCAAGATTCTGGCAAGTTGAGGGGCGTGTGGTGGGAGCTGACTTGGGGTTGGGTCGTTTTCGATTCGACTTTCATCATGAAGAAGACATTATCAACGTCATGAAGATGGAGCCATTCCACTTTGATCATTGGATGGTCTCTTTGGTGCGTTGGAAGCCGGTCCTCGAACCTAACTATCCATCACGCATCACCTTCTGGGTTCAGGTGATCGATGTCCCTATGCAGTATTGGGCAGAATCATCTTTCCGCAGCGTGGGTGCGGCAATAGGCAAAGTTGTTGGGGATGTGGACTTGATGGATGGTAGAGTGCGAGTGGAGTTGGATGGGTTTAAGCCATTGATATTTTCAATGGATGTTGATTTCGAGGAAGGAGCGGAGCTGGAGGTGAAGCTAAGATATGAGCGACTCTTCGGGTTTTGTAGAATCTGCTGTTGTATGACTCATGATCAAACGAGATGTCCACTTAGAGTGACAGAAGCCAAAGATTTGAATGCATCAGATGCGGCTGTAGATCAAGGTCAAATGGCCATGAGCTACAAAACTGCTGTCGGCAATGACAGTACCTTGTATGATGCTCCAAAGGACAATAATAGGATGCGTCAAAGTGGTAACAATGACCGTGACAAAGGAAAGGGTTTAGCACAGGATACTCATAGGGAGTATAAACAAGGTGGTGGCTACCGTGGGCATAGAGACAGACCCAACCGTGAACTCGGAGAGGGCTCTTCTGGAGGAGGAAAAAAAAATAACTATGGCATATCTAGAGAAGACCGAGGAAGTTTGGCCATTAACACCAGGGGTGTCCAACAATTGAGGAATGGCCAGAGAAGGAATTTAAATGAACCTGAGATGCTAATGATGGATGCCTTCAAGGAGCCCTCTCAAGCATTGGTGAAAGATCAGGAGAAGGTCAGGGGAGAAAAATCTTCCAGTGCTAGGAAATCTCTCAATTTTGAGACAATGGTGGAATCTACTGAGAATGAGTTGGTGCACCAGGAGCCTGGGAGTAATGTGGAGATGGTTCCTGATCGTCAACTGGAGAGGACAGTTGATTTGGATAAGGGGTTTAATGATCAACCGGTGGCTTCAGATGAAGCAAATTTGATGTTAGTAGGTGTTCTACTTTCCGACTCTGAGCTGGTAGATGAGGACTGGGAGGATGGAGAGCTCCCGGATTTCTTGGACGAGATGGAAGGGATGCAGTTCACTGTTAATGTGCCTGAGGCAACCCACGAGGACAACATCCCGCAAGAAGATACAAACGCAGAGGAGGGCACTGCCAAGGTGGCAAAGAAGAAAAGCTCCAAAGCAGGGATCAACAGGACTCGTCTTGTGCATAAGCTACTCTCACCTAAGAAGGGCAAGATTTCAAAGCCAGCTTTGAAGAATGGAGACAAAGGTAATGGAGAGGGTAAGAAGAATGGTGGTAAGCACTAAGGAAGTGTGTTTCTATCTCTATGTTTCGGTTTTTTTTTTTTTTAAAATAAAATAAAATAAAATTCCAATAAATGTCGGATTATCTTATAAAATCCATTTTCTTTGATTGCTATAAGCTCTGGTTATGGGATACGTTCCCTACAGAGGTAGCTTTGTTTGACCTGAAATGTAGGGTCTCTTGTGTTTTCCATCTAATAATAAGAGTTTACCACCTTGGTTCTATGATGTAGTGTTCTTAATTCGTTTAAAACATGTAATGGGGATGACGGGTTTCATAGATTCAAGTAAGGGTAGGGAATCAATTTTGATTGTTAGCTCTGTTTGGGTGTGCACAAGAGAACACTTTTGGAATATTGTTGCTGAGTATTTGACCAGGAATCGGTTTGTTCTTGATTTTACATGTTTTCTGATCTTCTGTCACGAGTGGTGGAGGTTTAAAATTATAAATAGTAGACGATGTTTTCAAATGGGGTTACAAGGTTTGAAGTTACTTGTCAATCCTTGGAATCTGACTGGTTTGACCGAGAGCAGATGCAGCTTACAGGAACATCAAAATTGCTTTGCAGCTGAGTGTTTCTTAATTGTGTATGTCTGGTATGCACAGGTGACTAACGATGATTACGGTTCCATGTGTCCGGGTGATTATATGTTAGAAGATCCATTTTGGTTGGTTATTACTCATTTTGAGTTATGGAGGATGATCGTTGGTAATTATTGCAGGATGGAGGTAATGCACACAAAATGTGTTTTTACGGGTGTATACCAAAAGGAGTTGTCACCATCATTGGTTTTGGTTGAGGGTTGATCAAGGGAGTAAGTCAAAAGAGATGCTGGCAAAAATTCATAAAAGGTGGTTTGATGTTGATAATTCTTATTGGCTCTTGACTAATAGAGATGAGATTAGAAGAAAGAGGTTAATTTTTTTATGGCGACATTTTACCTTATCTGATATTTCAGTTAAGGATATATTACTCTATTCAGATATTGCATGTAAAAACAAGTTAATACTATTTCGGTTGGTATACAGTATTTCACGGAGAATGGTTTGTAGGATGATAATGAAGTGGGTATCTCTCATAAGTATTATAATTTGTGTTCTCATGGGTTCTAAGTATATTCAAAATAAATTAGCCATCAAACCAAATGGCCAGGTTTTGGTTTGCATAATGCCACGGAATACAACAAGCATTAATTAATAATTTATATCATGAGTATATTAAGTTGGAATTGTCGGGGTGCAGGAGGTTCAGATACTGTTCAACGGATCCGGGATTTTCGACGCCAATATTTCCCAGATTTTTTATTTCTTATGGAAACTAAACAAAAAGTGGCGTATATGGACTCTCTAAAATCCAGTTTGGGTTATGATCATTTACATACGGTCGAACCTCTGGGGCGTAGTGGAGGTTTAGCTTTAATGTGGAAAGGGTGTTACAAAGTAGACATTATTTACAGTGACAATAGAATTGTTGATTTAAAAGTAAAAATGGGATCTATTGAATTCTTCCTTTCTTGCATATACGGTGACCCAGTAAGAAGCAGAAGAAGATTCTTCTGGGATAAGTTAACAGATATAGGGATTCTCAGGGATGAAGCATGGGTTTTGGTTGGGGATTTTAATGAATTAATGCATAATGGGGAAAACTGGGAGGTCCCACTAGAGAGGAATCAACTTTTTTCGATTTTAGAAACATGGCGGAAGCATGTAAAATTAGAGAAATGAGAACGACGGGTAACACCTTTTCATGGGCAGGGATGCGAGATCATCACTGGGTCCAATGCCAATTGGATATGAGTTTTGGGAATGAGGAATGGTTTCGCCTTTTCCCACAATCGTCCACAGATTATATGACTATGTGGCCTTCAGATCATAGGCCACTTCGTATAGTGTTCGCCTTTGAACCAGAAAGTCTACAAAGAGGAAGGTTCTTTTTTGATAAACGAATGTGGGGGAAAAGAGGAGTCGAGGAAGCCATTGTTCGGGGGTGGGACAAGGAGAACGTTAATTCGAATCTAACTGTCCATGAGCGTATTGCTCGATGCCGATCGGAACTATCTAAACTTAAAAAATCTAATGACTGGAATTCTAAAGTGCGAATAGACCGGTTACAAGCGGAGCTGGACAAAGAAAGTTCAAAGCAATTCCCCATTTTGGGTTTGATGAGAAGATTAAGGCAAGATCTGGCATCAGCTTACAGGGAAGAGGAAATTTTTTGGCGACAAAGGAGTAGAGAAGAATGGTTACGGGAAGGTGACAGAAATACAACTTATTTTCATAATGTCGTCAGAGGGAAACAAATAAGGAACAAAATCCTTATGCTGCGTGATATCTTTGGTACTGAACATTTTTCAGAGGGGTCGAAAGGCCATATTGCTACAGAATATTTTAAGGAACTGTTTACAAGTTCAAATCCAATAGACTTAGAATCTTTGTTTGAGGGTTTTGATAGTAGAGTTACGCCGGGTATGAACACGATGTTAACCAGAGAGGTTTCTCAGGACGAAATTAAAAATGCGGCATTTGGGATTAAAGGAAGTAGTGCCCCGGGAGAAGACGGTCTCACAGGTTTTTTCTACCAAAAATATTGGCATATTGTGGGAGAGACAATTACTGAAAATATTCGAAGTTTTTTTAAAACAGCCATTATCCCTGATGGATGGAATCATACACAATTATGTTTGTTACCAAAAATCTCACATCCCACGGAAATGAAGGATATGAGACCGATTAGTCTCTGTAGTGTCCAATACAAAATTATTTCTCGGATCCTATGCGATCGACTGAAGGTTGTTCTGCCACATGTTATTTCTGAGACACAAGGTGCATTTGTTGGAGGACGTCTAATTACTGATAATGTAATTATTGCTCACGAATTGATACATGGGTTGAGAACAAATGATAAACTCGGTAAAGAAGGTATGGCTATCAAAACAGATATGTCAAAAGCTTACGATCGGGTAGAATGGAATTTCTTAGAAGTACTATTTGAAAAAATGGGATTTGACCGTAAATGGGTAGTATGGTTAATGTCATGTATCACTACTGTCACTTTCTCGGTTCTTCTTAACGGACGCTCCCATGGTTTCATCAAACCGGAGAGAGGAATACGTCAGGGTGACCCTTTGTCTCCCTTCATTTTTATACTTTGTGCAGAAGCCCTGGTCCATATTCTAAACAGGGCGGACTCACAAGGCAAATTGCATGGTCTCAAGTTGGCTAAAAATAGTCCGGTTATACATCAACTACTTTTCGCGGACGATAGTTTGTTACTATGTGAAGCCTCAATTCAAGACAGTGAGGAAATTCTGAAAGGATTAAAACTTTATGGGGATGCTTCAGGTCAAATGATAAATTATTCTAAATCATCAATTATTTTTGGGAAACACGTCATTGACGAGGCCAAACAAGCTATAAAAGAAACTTTGGGCATCGAGAAAGAAGGTGGAGAAGGCTCGTACCTGGGTCTCCCTGCATGTTTTCGGGGTTCAAAAAAAGATCTTTTAAATTTTATTAAAGAAAAACTAGAAGGAAGACTACATGGTTGGTATTCTAAAACCTTATCGATGGGGGCCAAAGAAGTTTTAATAAAATCAGTCGCTTTAGCCCTGCCTGTTTACGCAATGTCGGTGTTCCAATTACCAAAAGGTCTTTGCGAAAAGATAACGAGTGCTATAATTGAATTTTGGTGGAGTAGTGGAGATAAAAAAAGAAAGATTCCATGGGTATCATGGGAAAAACTATGTAAACCTAAGGAACAGGGAGGACTTGGTTTTCATGACATCGGTCGTTTCAATCAAGCATTATTGGGAAAACAAGCTTGGAGGATTTGGAACAATCCAAATTCTTTGGTTTTAAAAATTTTAAAAGGCAAATATTTTAAAAACAGTGAATTTTTGGACTGTGGTATGGGAACCCGTCCTTCGTATGCCTGGAGGAGCATCATGCATGGTAGAGAATTGCTAAAAAAGGGTCTATATCGGCATATTGGTAATGGAGAGATATCCAATGTTTGGGCGGAAAACTGGATAATCGACATTGTTCCTCGTCCGCCAATGTATCGGGAGAATAGTCCCATCAATTTAGCACTAAAGGTCTCCGATTTATTGGTCCCGGGATCGAACAAATGGGATGAACATCTACTACATCAAACATTCACGACGCAGGATGTTCAGAGAATATTAAAATTGAAACCAGTTTTGTTTCAAGAGGATTCTATTAGATGGGGATTTACACCAAATGGATCTTACTCAACCCGCAGTGGGTACAAACTTTTAGAAGCTTTGGTGGGTATTGATCATTCACACGCCCACTCTCTTTCTCCTATTGAAAAAAAACTGTGGACGGATTTATGGAAAATAAAAGCTCCACCAAAAATTAAACATTTTATGTGGCGTGCTTTGTCAGGTGCTTTAGCGGTTAAACAAAGATTAAATACAAGGGGTATTACAATTGATCCGACTTGCAATATCTGCGGTAATGGGGCTGAAACCATATGCCATGTTCTCTTTACATGTGATAAAGCAAAGGCGGTATGGGAACAAGCCCAGGTTCCAATACCATCAGGAGGGTTTTCAAGGAACTCTACATTTTTGAATTTCCTGCATTTGATAAAAATTGAGAAAACTTCATTAACGGATTTTAAGTTAGGAAAAGTTTTTCCTTGGCTATTATGGGAAATTTGGAAAGCTCGAAATGACTTCATTTTTAAATCAAAGGATAATGAGGCCTCCTATATTGCTAAAAAAGCGTATGAAGAAGAATCCACCTGGTGTGATACATTCACAAAAGATACAATGGGTGGGTCCAACGAAAATAATCTCCTTTGGAAAAAACCACCAAAAGGCTTTCTCAAATGCAATGTTGGTTCTTCCTGGGTCAGCGCGAATCGTAGTAGTGGTGCGTCGTGGATCCTACGTGACGAGAGAGGATGTACTCTCATGCATAGTCGTAGAGCTTACTCTTATATGCGTTCAAAGGTGGAGGCTGACCTGTGGGCCCT